GGGGAGTGAGGAGGGGGGGGAGGGGGGAGTGCGGTGAGTTTTTTTCGCCGTAAAGGGGGGGGGGTCCTAAAAAAATTGACCCCTTGGGGGGGGGGGCTGTAAAATTTTCAGGCTCGAGTTTCAATATCTTCACCCCCCCCCCCCCCCTTGTCATATTAAATGAACTTTCCCTTAAGAAAAAGGAAAATTACTGTTAAAAAAGGATTTACGACACCAAAATTGACCCTTTTTGACATTTTATAAGCGTGGAAATACGATAATTTTTGGAACTTCCCGTTAGAACAGGTTAGTCATGTTAGTACTGCCATGCCTTATTCTTCTTGGGAGGTAAATAAGGTGCATTATGGTCTATGCGAACGTGGTAAATACACAAAAAGGCCCTGTAGTTATGAAGGAGATGTAAAAAAAAAACGCATAGGGAGCACTAATCATAACAACTATTCCGATCATTTTACGTTTCTGGGAAACTGCCCACCTACCCCTCCCCTAAGCCAGCATTTGGCCCTAAGTGAGAAGTAAGTGTTAATGTTAGCTTAGGGGAGGGGTAGGTGGGCAGTTTCCCAGAAACGTAAAATGATCCAACTATTCTAGTGATTTTTGCAGGCATAGCATTAAAATATGAATAAGTTGACACATTTTTTTTCACGTTTCAATCCATGTTCATCCTTGCCATCCGTAGCAACATACCACAGAAAACGGTTTCATTGCCTAAATATAGTCTTCAATAACAAAACTGGACCATTCGTTTTGGAATTCAACTGATGAGAAGAAACGTTTTAGCATCGAAAGAAAGACAGCAAAAAGCTTGACATTTTAGCCACTTTACGGGCTCAACACCTCAAAAACTCCTGGAGGGGCCCGGGGGGCCCGCCCCCTTATTTTAGACCAAACTGAGGCCCGAAGGGCCAAAAAATATTTGGTGACTTGATGTAGGTAATCTTCACATTTGTAATTGTCTACCGTTTTGAATAACCGGTAGGTTCTCATTTTGTTGCTTTGGTTAGCATCTTTTCTGGTGTCGTTATTTATTTCACTTAGCCATCTTTGTAGTTCGATATCCTTAAGTCGTCGCCTGATCATGTTTACGATTCCTATGTCCCTATAGTGTGCTTTCATCCAGAGTTCTCCTAATCCTATCTGTTCCAATAAGCTTTTGATTTTTTTGCTCCAGAGAGCTTTATTTTCATTCCATTTAATGTCATTGTATGCTATTTAAGATAATTTGTTATCATTTTTGGTTAAGGTTAACCAGAACTTAAAGTTCCTACATTGTCGAGGCTTCAATTCTCATTGGGAACCTTCCTGTCTCAGCCCTGCATGCATTGTTATTGCAGTATTTATTATCTCCCAGCAACCACTTTAGGAATTTATTTTGAACCAGTTCTTCTGGATCCTTTTCTAATTGTCCACTGCAATCAATCCCTCACACTTCACTCGTATAAACGAGTATGGGAGATATCAGTGCATCAAACAACTTCATCGTTAATTTTACATTTTCTCTGAAGTGGTTTCCCATCTCTTTTCGTAATTTATAGAGTGCTTTAAGTGCAACTTTCTTCAGCTCTTGAGGGAGATTAAAGTTTCCAAAAGGAATCATTATGAGTCCAAGATATCTGTAGGATTTGACGTTTTCCAGTTCATCAGCGCCGTATCTGAACAAGTAGTTGTTTAAAGACTTACCACAGTTATTAAAAATCATAATTTTTGTCTTGTCTAAATTTACACTTAAAACGGCATTTTCAGAGAAAGATTCCAGCTTATTAAAGATTATTTGAAGGCTTTTTGCTGATCTAGAGAAGATCACTACATCGTCCGCATATAAGAGACAATTTACAGCGGAGCTCAACGCGCGGCGCTTCGAGCCCCATATCTAAGGAAATGTGGTAATCTACCCATCCGAGAAAATTTGGCAATCACGTGACCGTACACCGACCGACCGCCCGCACGACCATCCATCCGCACCACAGGCATACCAATGTAAAATAACTCAATCAACAGGTATGGCAACCCAAATGCAACTCAAGGTTTTATTTGGAAGGAAATCACATGGCCGCCCGGACTTTTAGAAAGAAAAAACAACAACAAAGTCGTGTCTTTTTCGACGTTATTTTTTACGTTTACACTAACGTGGATAACAGAGAAAGAGCTAGAGCGAGTTCTTGAAAACAAAGGATACGAATTTCGTAAGAAGAAAAACATGGAAAGTCAAAGCGACGGTGAGAAAATGAGAAATGCTAACGGCCAGCAAGGCGAAAATGAGCGGCAGTGAAAAATAAAGTCGAACATGAACACAGGAAACAAAATATTGGATAAGCATATACGAAAATTCCTCCATAAAAATAGTGTGTAACTAGGAAGTTTGACGTTTTAAGACCCTGTTTACATGGAGTGGGGGACCCCGGTCTAGTGGGGTAAGTTTCTTTTGTTTTGTGTCCCCCAGCGCGTGAAAACAAAAGAAACTTACCCCACTAGACCGGGGTCCCCCACCCCATGTAAACAGGCCCTTTAGTCGTACAAAACAGCGTTGTAGTCGTGCAAAACAGCGGCAAGGGAAAGACAAAAAAGCGTGCTGCACGTGCAAATTTATTTTTTGCTAATTAGAAGAAAAAGTTTGCTGCACGTGCAATTTGTTTTTTTGCTAATTAGATCTATTAGTCTTGATGCCATTTTCATTGTCGTCCCAGTTTAGCATTACACGATTTAATTTTTTTTGTTTACACGTATTATTAACCAGAGCTTCGCGAACGGGACTTATGACTCCTAAGAACGAGATGTCACGTCATTTCATCCATGATATAAAATAGAATAATTTTCGTTTTAAATGTTCCTTATGTATTAACATTTCTGTATCTTTACAGACAACGTTCTAAAACTGAAATTGGACAAAATACAAATAAGGGTCAACACTAAGCTACTCAGTAAGCAGCACTTTCCTAAGGTCTTGAAATTTAGCTTAACCCCATGGTACTATACCTTTGGACACATCGCTTGTCGATGATGATGCAATCCCTATGTGTGACTTGATTCAAATGAAAGCAAGCGAGCCGACCGATTGCACTACAATTATACAACACAATTGACTTTATTTAAAAGGCATTACACGTACAGCTTTGTTTTTAAATAATGCAGTCCCTATATATTCGACTTCCTTGATTGGAAAGAAAGCTAGTGAGCAGATGCCAAGTAATTTATGAGGAGACACCCCCACTTTTGGTGACATTTTTGAAGTCCGCGTGACTGATTATTTTATCGCAAGAGGAATATTTGAAAAATATTTTCGGCACCAGCAGTTGCTATGGAAGATGATGGAGTAGTTTTATCTGAAAAAAGTCAGGAATATGATTTTAGCCCTTTTTCTCTTGCCAACGATAAACCTGACGTTAAATAATCGTGCTCAACTCCTTTTTTACACCCTTTTTTTAAACTTATTGCATTGGATTTCATCTCCTTGGTGATATAGGGACGAAATTGAGGTACGAAAAAATTCTAAGGTATGAAAAAACGAAATATTACTCAGTGCGCCACTCATGACCCAAATTGATAACCTATGGCCAATAAAACAAGAGCTACGAGGGGGTACTTCCTACGCTTCTGTTAATGATGCTGCACAAAATGGTCTTCAATTCTGACTCCCTGTGTGACCATTCCAGGGGTTTCAATAAAAATTGAAGTAGCCAGCAGGTTTGAAAAAAGTAACCGACTGTATCGAAAGGAGGCTTACTCTCCATCTTCTAGAGGGGTCTGGGGGCGTGCGTCCCTTGAAAATTCCGAAATTTCAATGCCCTAAAATGCGATTTCCAGCGTTCTGGGCACTAAAGTGAGTACAAAAGATAATATATTTTTTATCAATTTGGACAAGTAATGCACTTTATGTCCCAAATTTTTCTTAAATATTTTAAATCTGAAGCAAAAATACTGTCTAGGTCCAGCAAATTGAATTTTAATACAAGTTTTGACAGAATCTTTTTTTAATTTGGTCCTTTCAGCTTCCAATTTAGGGGGCAAAAGTAGCCGACTTCTCTGATCCAAGTGGCCGAAATGTTTAGTCGGTCGTCGGTGCCTGCTGAAACCCCTGCCATTCAAATAAACGCTTCTGAGAAGTAAGTCCCTGTGATATTGTTTATGTGTTGGAAATAACTTTGGAGACTGTTGATGGAATCCCACAATGTGATCATCTGAGCAGTACTTTCCTGTGTCACGGATGACAGGTGTATGCAAATATGACATTCGGCAGCATAAAAACACCAAAACGTTGATAACTATCCGCAGTCGAGTCAAGATTAACCAATCGAGCAGTACCTTGGATCTCTTAGTGCAAATATACACCCGAGCCGAGACAAGAACACTTCAAAGAGGGAAACCTACGATACAGAACCGTTGAGTCTGTTGTGGGATACCAAACGCGACAATGACGGACACGAACGAGACGCTGCTGCAAGTGAATGGTGGCGGCGGCGGTGGCAGGAGGTCACCTTCACCTATGCGGATTGTTCGACGCTCAAGCTACAAAACGTCCGATCTTTCACAAGCTTCAAAGCCAGGCGACATCACGATCCAGCGTATTTCCGAGGCGAAGGGCTACCTCAATGATTTCGAGCAGTTGTATCGGAAACACAGAGCAGAGATTGATGGCCTCAAGAGGGAACATGCAAGCGAGGTGGGTCAAGCGAGCTGGCGCCCTTTTTGCGTGTTTTTTTCTCGATTCTTAGAGTAAATGGAGGCACGCAAAATAGTAAAGAATATATTAAGACTTAAAAAGGTTGTTTGAGTAAAAATAGCAATACAGCGGTGTCTTACGACTAAGTTCAGCTTCGAAGACTTAAAGAAGCGCTAGTACGCGAAACAGCGCGAATTTCTCGGTAAATGACGCTAGCTTAGCAAAGACGCAATCGATGAAGTGCAGAAGAGTATTTAAACAAGATCAAGACAAATTTATTCTACAAGGTGTGAACTAATTAAAAATGGGTTTTTTGGGGGCGATTTTTCGTGAATATCACGGTCGGCCCTTGAAAGCATAAGAAATACATAGCCCTATACAAAAGCTCTGTCAAAGAGGTTTAACTTAAATGGTAACATCATAGGAATTCTTCAACAGCTTCAGTTTTAACAGGGCATGAAATCAACCCTTCTGTCCGAAAGCCTTACTTGGCGGATAATTCCAAAAGGTCAGTCACCTGATTTGTATTTAATAAGAAATGAAACTTATGCTGGCGGATGACATGCATTAGAAACATCTAGTCTACCTCAAAGTGAACTACTAAGAGGACACTAAACCCTTTAAGTCCCAAGGGTGACCAATATATATTTTCTCCTAACAATATTATTAAATAATAAAGAGAAAACGTTAGGAGAATTAATGAAATAATCACATGAGGGAGAATGCTCTGATCTTTTATCAAATTCTCTCAACTATTCTCTAAGGAAGTGTATAAAGGTCTGTTTGGAGAATTGGTATGTGGATATAAGGGCTAAAAGGGATTAGATAGCAAAGCAAAACGTATGGAAATCAAAGATGGCATCCAGTGACTTCTCTTTTTTTTCGAGCAAATCGAGCCAATTTTCGGACACAAGCTTGGCTTCAAGCAATTCACAAGGTCTTCAAGTGAGCTGGGTTGAAGAATTCTAGTCCCCAGTTTGGCGACTTACTCTCAAAGTCTGATTGACAACGCCAAAAATTTAGGCGCCCGGAAATTTCATGCGCTGATATTGCATTATTTCCTTAACTTCCTTAGTAAGGCAAAGACACTCTTTATTTCCGATGTCTTAGTAGAGTAACATTTAGCAAAGCCAAGCAATGAAGGGATTTCCATCGACACTAACACCTCGCTTGAATTGTTGCGTAACATTACTGTACATACATTCCTTTTTAATAAATATTCTCCGATGTATAATCTAATGGCTTTACTGGAGTGCAATTGAAATGCGAAGACCATCTAATTATTCGAAGGTTCTCAGATTAGTATCTCAGTGCTGCTGGAGAGACACGAGGCGTGAGACATGCCCAAGGAAGACTCCCATAAGAAAGAGGCGGGTATGCTCGTCGGAAATTTTGAATTGAAAATATATAATTTTTTAATATTTCTTCGCGTGCAACCCTAAAAGAGACCTTTACGGCTAAATATAATGGAACACCCTAAGAGAGACAAAAATACGAAACTTACACCCTAAGCGAGACGACGAGCATCCCAAGGGAGTCGCCCCGGGGAGCTATGCTGCTGTATGCTCCTAACGCCATTATGCCCCCTTCAAACCACGAAAACCTATACATTTTAAGTCCAAATAAAAGAGGTTCAACAATATATTCTTTGCCTCGTTTAAATGTTATTCGATCCTAAGGCCTTGTCCACACGTATCCGGACATTTTTGAAAACGGAGATTTTTTTCCCCGTTTTCAAAACAGTAAGTGTCCACATGTAGCGAATTCAAATGGTTTTTGCCCATCAACACGAAAACGCTAAATCGATACAAATACGATAGCGTAACTTACCGGGCGTGGGCTGTATGGTCTATGACATCATCGTAGTCGAAAACCTCTATTTTCGTCCGTGCACACAAAAACGATATTCCAACGTTTTCAACAATCTCCACGCCATGGACGGTTGTCAAAAATCTGCGTTTTTGACGCCCCAAAAATTCCGTTTACGCGTGGACAGAAGGCTAATAACGCAGAAAAATCTCAGTTTTCAAAAATATCCGGAGCCTAAATCTGCCCTCACACACAATTTTTCGTTAGCTAATGGGCTATTTGGGTTCGTCTATCAAAAAACGTAGCCGTTACCTCATGTTTATATTACTTCAACGCAAGAATCTTTGGACGCTCCAGTTACTCAGATACTGAAGGCTCTATGGCAAGCAAGGTCGAAATTTAGTTACAATTAAACCAGCCACTAAGTCCGAACACTTTGACAGGGTTGAACCTCACAGTGGTGCAACCTCAATCATATTACTTGCACGCAACACTGAAAGCTTCAGTGTTAAGGTTTTAAAACGCTTAGGATCAGAAAGAAAAGGACCGACACACTCACTCAACCTGCCTTCTCGCGCGCGAGACGTTTCTTTGCATCATTTTTACGAGTGCTTTTCAACACTTTCTTTTCTGTATGTATATGCGCAACATATGTAAATCATTTTCTTCGCATTTTATTTTTGATGATGAAGGAATAACATCCTGGAAACATCATGTTAAATTCTTATCGGTAATGTCTCTTTTAAATGCCTGGCTGTTAAAATGTCCAAACAATTTCCTTACATAACTTAACCTCCCACGCTCTAACTAGGAGCTCACGCTAGTGACCAAAAGGTCAAAGCAGCGATTTTTGTTGGCAGACTCCTTAATTCCAATCGCCTGCGTCACCTTAAATACAAATGTAAGGAAATTTTCACTTCGTTTTCAAGGGCCCAATATCTTTAATTCCCTTAGCTCTGAAATTCAGAATGCCTCTAGTACTGCTAAGCACACTTTTGCTCTCCTACTGCATGTGTGTAGTTTTTCGCTTTTTTTTCTCGTTTATTCTTGCATTATTTTTTCTCACTTACACGTTCAGACTTTTCTATTTTTATCCTATTTAATGATTATTTTCTATTTTCCCAACAAATTGTGCGTACTTTGATTTAAATTGCCGATGTTAGTATTGTAATTATTAATCAGATAACATAATTTCAAAAGGTGGTCATATACACAAGCCTTATTGGCTTCCTTGGGCTCCCTTGCCTCATCTTTTTTACAATTTTATATGCATATTTTGTGTGTATGGCAAAATGATAATAAAACAATAAAACAATACAGTATTTTCACACCCCACGGTAACCACAAGGAAAACGTCGATCTTCGAAGGAGTTTCTGTTAAAATAGAAAGATGGTTTTCAGCTCAGGTTTTCTATATTTTCCCACTTTGTTTTGTTTTTGTTTTGATTGTTTTTCACTCCCTAATGTCTCGTTTATCGATATTTATTTATCGACACTAAGACGCCCATTAAATCTCCATCCAATATTCTGTACAGAAATATTTGGCATTTCTGCCAGAAATAAAAACATATAATTAGAAAGTATACATTGCTTATCACTTCTAATAGTTACTTATAATTAAGACAGAGACACTGCGCGTAGGCAGAAGTTGATATCTAATTTCTCTGGATTATTCACTTTATTTTCATTTAAAAAGGCAACAACAAAGAGAATATACTGGTAAATACGCACTATAAACTTGGCACGTTAAGTGGCGAATAATTGAAACATTTACCCGCTAATATAGGCGTTCACATTCTACTCAGAGCCTTCATACACAACTGATCTGCGAGACACTGACAAATCACGATATTTTGCGATAACGGAGTTCAATAATTGTTTTATCATTAGATCACCGAGTTTTTTTTTTTTAATGAATATCCTTGGGAAGCGAAGAGATCTGCCACTTTCACGCAAGAGCGATCGCAATAAGGAGAAAAACACGGTTTCCTTTACGCATGAGTAGAATATTATTTGCAGCCAAACACAGTTGGAAAGCATTGCGCATGAGCAGACCATTATTTGTAGGCAGTTATTTGCAGGTCACGTGGTGGGCTCTCGGCTAATGAAAAGAAGGAAAAGTTTGCTTCGAAGGATAATTATTATTATTATTATTACTTGGGGGGAGGGGGCCTTTAAAATAAACAATGACCATTCAGCTGAAACAGGAGCCCATCCTAGTCTTAAAAATAAGTTTCACTTTCTATTTTTTCTCTCGTTCTAGTAAGAAGGCCACCCTATCATAATTTAGTGCAAATGACAGTAGCACTACAATATCAGGGTTTGTTCCCGAGTGCAGCATTGCTGGATTTACGCGTTTTGAAACTAATGTCGCACAAAATTCATGTAAATGCGGCAAATGAGGTGTGGAAATAATCTGAAACAAAGGATTCAATTCTGAATCACAATAATAAATAACAATTATTCACCGAAGTGGAGGTGGCTAGTCCTGGATATTTACCGAACTGCGAAGCAGTTCGGTAAATATCCACGACTAGCCACCGACACTGAGGTGAATAATTGTTTTAGTATATACTAAAACAGTGAGATAATTGAGCACAAAAATGACGATTTTTAACAGGTCATAGCGAGAATGTCGTAGTGGCGGGAACAAGTTATTAAATGTAAGAAGTTTTATCATTTTGCTATCGAGAGAGGACTGAACCTCCTTCAGTATAAATAACCATACTAACTTTTTCGGTGAAAAAAAAAGTAAAATGAAGCTTTCCGGGGTGTATATTTTTGGAGAACACGCCAAAAAAAATTAAAGTTAAATCTCGTACTCTTTCTCGTCCTCAAATCTAAAGTTCTCTAATTTTGATGCCTGAACTGTGTTACACTCAGTCAATTTGAACAACGGATTTAAAGAATTTAATCTGTGCTCACAGTTACTGGTTGTGAACCTTTACCTGTGTTAATTAGATGACTATTTTGAACAATTTCGTGCCCGTGTGCAGTTATGTATGTTTTAATTGCTAATAAATGTTTGCTTTATAAGGAAAGCAGTATGCATAATTTGCGTATAGTTCTTTTATTATGTATAACGCTTTTACTCCAGGGACACGCTCAGGGGTAACGTGGGTAGAGGTGTACCGCCGGGGCCTCCGAAGCCTAGTGACCCTGTTATTGGGTTGCCCGTGAAGGCAACGCCCAATCAAGAATTACCTTCCATCTATATCGGAAAAAAGACAAAATGGCGGACGAAACTCCCACAAGGCTTTGCGTGTCCCAGTCTCCCTTCAATGGGGCCGATTTTTGCAGGGAGGGGACGAGTCATTTCAGGTCATCTGGAAGTCGATTTCAAAGAAAACAAAATTATTGCGCGGAGTTATTGACCGTAGAGTATATCTACGCTGAATGATTATCTAAATACAGTGTTTGGAAGAAGTAGTTAGCCTGTGCGGGAGCTGCAGAAACAATGCCCTCCCACGGGCCCCACAGGAAAAGATTCCACTTGATGCAATTCTCTCCCCGCGTGTGAAAAGTCTTTCCTTGTACTACATGAAAGGAATATGCTACTTGTAGGTCGCCCCGTCTAATAGAAACATATTCACTATCCGACAGAAAAACTGAAAGTTAAGAAAAAGGAAAATTACTGTTAAAAAAGTATTTACGACACCAAAATTGACCCTTTCACATTTTATAAGCGTAGAAAGACGATAATTTTTGGAACTTCCGGTTATATGAGATTAGTCTTGTTAGTACTGTCATGCTATAGTCTTCTTCGGAGGGTGGCAGAGGAAAAGGGGAAGGGGGTGAGTTTTGGAAATGTCCAAGTTAAAAATAATGCCAATCGTTTCTTCCTTTAAAAGGCTATCTGCATTCCATTCCAAGGGTTAGGAGTAGCTATAAGCTCAAGCCGTTAATAAGTGTAATTATAATCTATACAGTCAACTGTCGGCTTGCGGACACCCCGCTATAATGGACACCTCGATAATACAGACAGCAGGTAAATGTTTTGCCAACTAAAAGATTGCGAAAAAATTGCACTTAAATGCAAAATTACAGCTGTATAAAGTAAAAATGTCACCAGAGCGTGATAGTTCCAAACCCTGTCGCACGATAACAAAACCAAAAATTATATTTAGATAAATTGTGTGCTGAAGTCATTACTTAGAGTATTTACCCATTCACCATTTTCACATAGACCATAATGCACTTTGTTTACCCCCCATAATTTTGCATAACCATTGTCTTGGATTTCTCTTAGGAAGAGTGTAATACCCGGGAGGGATTGGAAAAAATGGGTATGCAAAATGGGGGGGGGGGGGAGGGGAGGTAAACAAGGTGCATTATGGTCTATGCGAAAGTGGTGAATACACAAAAAGGCCCTGTAATTATGAAGGAGATGTCAAAAAAATCGCATCGGGAGCACTAATCATAACAACTATTCAGATCATTTTACGTTTCTGGGAAACTGCCCACCTACCCCTCCCCTAAGCCAGCATTTTGCCCTAAGTGAGAAGTAGGTGATACTGTTCAGTTGGCTTAGGGGAGGGGTAGGTGGGCAGTTTCCCAGAAATGTAAAATGATCCAACTATTCTGGTGATTTTTGCAGGCATAGCATTAAAATTTGAATAAGTTGACGCATTTTTTTCAGGTTTCAATCCATATCCATCCTTGCCATCCGTAGCAACAGACCACAGAAAACGGTTTCATTGCCTAAATATAGTCTTCAATAACAACACTGGACCATTCGTTTTGGAATTCAACTGATGAGAAACGTTTTAGCATTGAAAGAAAGACAGCAAAAAGCGTGACATATTAGCCACGTTACAGACTCAACAGCTCAAAAACTCCTTCAACAGCTCAAAAACTCCTGGAGGGGCCCGGGGGGCCCGCCCTCTTATTTTAGACCAAACTGAGGCCTGAAGGGCCAAAAAAAATATTTGGTGACCTGATGTAGGTAATCTTCACATTTGTAATTGGCTATCGTTATGAATAACCGGTAGGTTCTCATTTTGTTGCTTTGGTTAGCATCTTTTCTGGTGTCGTTATTTATTTCACTTAGCCATCTTTGTAGTTCGATATCCTTAAGTCGTTGCCTGGTCGTGTTTACGATTCCTATGTCCCTATAGTGTGCTTTCATCCAGAGTTCTCCTAATCCTATCTGTTCCAATAAGCTTTTGATTTTTTTGCCCCAGAGAGCTTCATTTTCATTCCATTTAATGTCATTGTATGCTATTTAAGATAATTTGTTATTATTTTTGATTAAGGTTAACCAGAACTTAAAGTTCCTACATTGGGCTTCAATTCTCATTGGGAACCTTCCTGTCTCAGCCCTGCACGCCTTGTTATTGCAGTATTTATTAATTCCCAGCAACCACTTTAGGAATTTATTTTGAACCAGTTCTTCTGGATCCCTTTCTAATTGTCCATTGCAATCAATCCCCCGCACTTCACTCGCATAAAAGAGTATGGGAGATATCAGTGCATCAAACAACTTCATCGTTAATTTTATATTTTCTCTGAAGTGGTTTCCCATCTCTTTTCGTAATTTATAGAGTGCTTTAAGTGCAACTTTCTTCAGCTCTTGAGGGAGATTAAAGTTTCCAAAAGGACTCATTATGAGTCCAAGATATCTGTAGGATTTGACGTTTTCCAGTTCATCAGCGCCGTATCTGAACAAGTATTTGTTTAAAGACTTACCACAGTTATTAAAAATCATAATTTTTGTCTTGTCTAAATTTACACTTAAAACGGCATTTTCACAGAAAGATTCCAGCTCATTAAAGATTATTTGAAGGCTTTTTGCTGATCTAGAGAAGATCACTACATCGTCCGCATATAAGAGACAATTTACAGCGGAGCTCCACGCGCGGCGCTTCGAGCTCCATAGCTAAGGAAATGTAGTAATCTACCCATCAGAGAAAATTTGGCAATCACGTGACCGTACACCACCGACCGCCCGCCCGACCATCCATCCGCACCACAGGCATACCAATGTAAAATAACTCAATCAACAGGTATGGCAACCCAAATGCAACTCAAAGTTTTATTTGGAAGGAAATCACATGGCCGCCCGGACTTTTAGAAAGAAAAAACAACAACAAAGTCGTGTCTTTTTCGGCGTTATTTTTTATGTTTACACTAACGTGGATAACAGAGAAAGACCTAGAGCGAGTTATTGAAAACAAAGGAGACGAATTTCGTAAGAAGAAAAACATGGAAATTCAAAGCGGCGGTGAGAAAATGAGAAATGCTAGCGGCCAGCAAGGCGAAAATGAGCGGCAGTGAAAAATAAAGGCGAACATGAACACAGGAAACAAAATATTGGGTAAGCACATACGACAATTCCTCCATAAAAATAATGTGTAACTAGGAAGGCTGACGTTTTAGTCCTACAAAACAGCGTTGTAGTCGTGCAAAACAACGGCAAGGGAAAGACAAAAAAGCGTGCTGCACGTGCAAATTTGTTTTTTGCTAATTAGAAGAAAAAGCGTGCTGCACGTGCAAATTTGTTTTTTGCTAATTAGAAGAAAAAGTGTGCTGCACGTGCAAATTTATTTTTTGCTAATTAGAAGAAAAAGTGTGCTGCACGTACAATTTGTTTTTTTGCTAATTAGATCTATTAGTCTTGAAGCCATTTCAATTGTCGTCCCAGTTTAGCGTTACACGATTTAATTTTTTTTGTTTACACGTATTATTAACCAGAGCTTCGCGAATAGGACTTATGGCTTCTGAGAACGAGATGTCACGTCATTTCATCCATGATATAAAATAGGATAATTTTCGTTTTAAATGTTCCTTATGTATTAACATCTCTGTATCTTTACAGACAACGTTCTAAAACTGAAATTGGACAAAATACAAATAAGGGTCAACACTAAGCTACTCAGTAAGCAGCACTTTCCTAAGGTCTTGAAATTTAGCTTAACCCGATGGTACTATACCTTTGGACAAATCACTTGTCGATGATCATGCAATCCCTATGTGTGACTTGATTCAAATGAAAGCAAGCGAGCCGACCGATTGCACTACAATTATACAACACAATTGACTTTATTTAAAAGACATTACACATACAGCTTTGTTTTTAAATAATGCAGTCCCTATATATTCGACTTCCTTGATTGGAAAGAAAGCTAGCGAGCAGATGCCAAGCAATTTATCAGGAAACACCCCCACTTTTGGTGACATTTTTGAAGTCCGCGTGACTGATTATTTCATCGTAAGAGGAATATTTGAAAATATTTTCGGCACCAGCGGTTGCTATGGAAGACGATGGAGTGGTTTATCTGAAAAACTCAGATATGATTTTAGCCCTTTTTCTCTTTGCCAAAGATAAACCTGACGTTAAATAATCGTGCTTAACTACTTTTTTTTACACCCTTTTTTTAAACTTATTGAATTGGATTTCATCTCCTTGGTGATGTAGGGACGAAATTGAGGTACGAAAAAATTCTAAGGTATGAAAAAAGCCAAATATTACTCAGTGCGCCACTCATGACCCAAATTCATAACCTATGGCCAATAAAACAAGAGCTACCAGGGGGTACTTCCTACGCTTCTGTTAATGATGCTGCAAAAAGTGGTCTTCAATTCTGACTCCCTGGGGTTTCAATAAAAATTAAAGTAGCCAGCAGGTTTGAAAAAAGTAACCGACTGTATCGAAAAGAGGCTTACTCCCCATCTTCTAGAGGGGTCTGGGGGCGTGCGTGCCTTGAAAATTCCGTTAAAGTTACGGGATTTTACGCTAAAGGTCGCAAGACCCGTGATTTCACTCATGTTTTCTATTATATAAAAAATAGTTAAACCTGTTCATTACGTGAAATACAGGGTTTAAAAAGAATTTATAAAATTTAGTGAAGCAAAAATATTGTTTAGGTCCAGCAAATTGAATTTTAATACAAGTTTTGACAGAATCTTTTTTTTAATTTGATACTTTCATCTTCCAATTTCGGGGGCAAAAGTAACTGACTTCTCTGATCCAAGTGGCCGAAATGTTTAGTCGGTCGTCGGTGCCTGTTGAAACCCCTGTCATTCAAATAAACGCTTCTGAGAAGTAAGTCCCTGTGATATTGTTTATGTGTTGGAAATAACTTTGGAGACTGTTGATGGAATCCCACAATGTGATCATCTGAGCAGTACTTTCCTGTGTCACGGATGACAGGTGTATGCAAATATGACATTCGGCAGCATAAAAACACCAAAACGTTGATAACTATCCGCAGTCGAGTCAAGATTAACCAATCGAGCAGTACCTTGGATCTCTTAGTGCAAATATACACCCGAGCCGAGACAAGAACACTTCAAAGAGGGAAACCTACGATACAGAACCGTTGAGTCTGTTGTGGGATACCAAACGCGACAATGACGGACACGAACGAGACGCTGCTGCAAGTGAATGGTGGCGGCGGCGGTGGCAGGAGGTCACCTTCACCTATGCGGATTGTTCGACGCTCAAGCTACAAAACGTCCGATCTTTCCCAAGCTTCAAAGCCAGGCGACATCACGATCCAGCGTATTTCCGAGGCGAAGGGCTACCTCAATGATTTCGAGCAGTTGTATCGGAAACACAGAGCAGAGATTGATGGCCTCAAGAGGGAACATGCAAGCGAGGTGGGTCAAGCGAGCTGGCGCCCTTTTTGCGTGTTTTTTTCTCGATTCTTAGAGTAAATGGAGGCACGCAAAATAGTAAAGAATATATTAAGACTTAAAAAGGTTGTTTGAGTAAAAATAGCAATACAGCGGTGTCTTACGACTAAGTTCAGCTTCGAAGACTTAAAGAAGCGCTAGTACGCGAAACAGCGCGAATTTCTCGGTACATGACGCTAGCTTAGCAAAGACGCAATCGATGAAGTGCAGAAGAGTATTTAAACAAGATCAAGACAAATTTATTCTACAAGGTGTGAACTAATTAAAAATGGGTTTTTTGGGGGCGATTTTTCGTGAATATCACGGTCGGCCCTTGAAAGCATAAGAAATACATAGCCCTATACAAAAGCTCTGTCAAAGAGGTTTAACTTAAATGGTAACATCATAGGAATTCTTCAACAGCTTCAGTTTTAACAGGGCATGAAATCAACCCTTCTGTCCGAAAGCCTTACTTGGCGGATAATTCCAAAAGGTCAGTCACCTGATTTGTATTTAATAAGAAATGAAACTTATGCTGGCGGATGACATGCATTAGAAACATCTAGTCTACCTCAAAGTGAACTACTAAGAGGACACTAAACCCTTTAAGTCCCAAGGGTGACCAATATATATTTTCTCCTAACAATATTATTAAATAATAAAGAGAAAACGTTAGGAGAATTAATGAAATAATCACATGAGGGAGAATGCTCTGATCTTTTATCAAATTCTCTCAACTATTCTCTAAGGAAGTGTATAAAGGTCTGTTTGGAGAATTGGTATGTGGATATAAGGGCTAAAAGGGATTAGATAGCAAAGCAAAACGTATGGAAATCAAAGATGGCATCCAGTGACTTCTCTTTTTTTTCGAGCAAATCGAGCCAATTTTCGGACACAAGCTTGGCTTCAAGCAATTCACAAGGTCTTCAAGTGAGCTGGGTTGAAGAATTCTAGTCCCCAGTTTGGCGACTTACTCTCAAAGTCTGATTGACAACGCCAAAAATTTAGGCGCCCGGAAATTTCATGCGCTGATATTGCATTATTTCCTTAACTTCCTTAGTAAGGCAAAGACACTCTTTATTTCCGATGTCTTAGTAGAGTAACATTTAGCAAAGCCAAGCAATGAAGGGATTTCCATCGACACTAACACCTCGCTTGAATTGTTGCGTAACATTACTGTACATACATTCCTTTTTAATAAATATTCTCCGATGTATAATCTAATGGCTTTACTGGAGTGCAATTGAAATGCGAAGACCATCTAATTATTCGAAGGTTCTCAGATTAGTATCTCAGTGCTGCTGGAGAGACACGAGGCGTGAGACATGCCCAAGGAAGACTCCCATAAGAAAGAGGCGGGTATGCTCGTCGGAAATTTTGAATTGAAAATATATAATTTTTTAATATTTCTTCGCGTGCAACCCTAAAAGAGACCTTTACGGCTAAATATAATGGAACACCCTAAGAGAGACAAAAATACGAAACTTACACCCTAAGCGAGACGACGAGCATCCCAAGGGAGTCGCCCCGGGGAGCTATGCTGCTGTATGCTCCTAACGCCATTATGCCCCCTTCAAACCACGAAAACCTATACATTTTAAGTCCAAATAAAAGAGGTTCAACAATATATTCTTTGCCTCGTTTAAATGTTATTCGATCCTAAGGCCTTGTCCACACGTATCCGGACATTTTTGAAAACGGAGATTTTTTTCCCCGTTTTCAAAACAGTAAGTGTCCACATGTAGCGAATTCAAATGGTTTTTGCCCATCAACACGAAAACGCTAAATCGATACAAATACGATAGCGTAACTTACCGGGCGTGGGCTGTATGGTCTATGACATCATCGTAGTCGAAAACCTCTATTTTCGTCCGTGCACACAAAAACGATATTCCAACGTTTTCAACAATCTCCACGCCATGGACGGTTGTCAAAAATCTGCGTTTTTGACGCCCCAAAAATTCCGTTTACGCGTGGACAGAAGGCTAATAACGCAGAAAAATCTCAGTTTTCAAAAATATCCGGAGCCTAAATCTGCCCTCACACACAATTTTTCGTTAGCTAATGGGCTATTTGGGTTCGTCTATCAAAAAACGTAGCCGTTACCTCATGTTTATATTACTTCAACGCAAGAATCTTTGGACGCTCCAGTTACTCAGATACTGAAGGCTCTATGGCAAGCAAGGTCGAAATTTAGTTACAATTAAACCAGCCACTAAGTCCGAACACTTTGACAGGGTTGAACCTCACAGTGGTGCAACCTCAATCATATTACTTGCACGCAACACTGAAAGCTTCAGTGTTAAGGTTTTAAAACGCTTAGGATCAGAAAGAAAAGGACCGACACACTCACTCAACCTGCCTTCTCGCGCGCGAGACGTTTCTTTGCATCATTTTTACGAGTGCTTTTCAACACTTTCTTTTCTGTATGTATATGCGCAACATATGTAAATCATTTTCTTCGCATTTTATTTTTGATGATGAAGGAATAACATCCTGGAAACATCATGTTAAATTCTTATCGGTAATGTCTCTTTTAAATGCCTGGCTGTTAAAATGTCCAAACAATTTCCTTACATAACTTAACCTCCCACGCTCTAACTAGGAGCTCACGCTAGTGACCAAAAGGTCAAAGCAGCGATTTTTGTTGGCAGACTCCTTAATTCCAATCGCCTGCGTCACCTTAAATACAAATGTAAGGAAATTTTCACTTCGTTTTCAAGGGCCCAATATCTTTAATTCCCTTAGCTCTGAAATTCAGAATGCCTCTAGTACTGCTAAGCACACTTTTGCTCTCCTACTGCATGTGTGTAGTTTTTCGCTTTTTTTTCTCGTTTATTCTTGCATTATTTTTTCTCACTTACACGTTCAGACTTTTCTATTTTTATCCTATTTAATGATTATTTTCTATGTTCCAAACAAATTGTGCGTACTTTGATTTAAATTGCCGATGTTAGTATTGTAATTATTAATGAGATAACATAATTTTAAAAGGTGGTCCTATACACAAGCCTTATTGGCTTCCTTGGGCTCCTTTGCCTCATCTTTTTTACAATTTTATATGCATACTTTGTGTGTATGGCAAAATGATAATAAAACAATAAAACAATACAATATTTTCAGACCCCACGGTAACCACAAGGAAAACGTCGATCTTCGTAGGAGTAACTGTTAAAATAGAAAGACGGTTTTCAGCTCAGGTTTTTTATATTTTCCCTCTTTGCTTTGTGTTTATTGTTTTTCACTCCCTAATGTCTCGTTTATCGATATTTTTTTATCGACACTAAGACGCCCATTAAACCTCCACCCAATATCCTGTACAGAATTAAAAATATTTGACATTTCTGCCAGAAATAAAAACATATAATTAGAAAGTATACATTGCTTATCACTTCTAATAGTTACTTATAAATAAAACAAAGACAGTGCGCGTAGGCAGAAGTTGATATATAATTTCTCTGGATTATTCACACTTTATTTTCATTAAAAAAGGCAACAACAAAGAGATTATACTGGTCAATACGCACTATAAACTTGGCACGTTAAGTGGCGAATAATTGAAACATTTACCCGCTAATATAGACGTTCACGTTCTAATCAGAGCCTTCATACACAACTGTTCTGCCAGACACTGACAAATCACGATATTTTGCGATAACCGAGTTCAATAATTGTTTATCATTCGATCACCGAGTTTGTTTTTTTAACGAATATCCTTGGAAAGCGAAGAGATCTGCAATTTTCACGCAAGAGCGATCGCAAGAAGAAGAAAAGCACGGTTTCCTTTACGCATGAGCAGAATATTATTTGCAGCCAAACACAGTTGGAAAGCATTGCGCATGAGCAGACCATTATTTGTACGCAGTTATTTGCAGGTCACGTGGTGGGCTCTCGGCCAATGAAAAGAAGGAAAAGTTTGCTTCGAAGGATAATTATTATTATTATTACTTAGGGGGAGGGGGCCTTTAAAATAAACAATGGCCATTCAGCTGAAACAGGAGCCCATCCTAGTCTTAAAAATAAGTTTCACTTTCTATTTTTTTTCTCGTTCTTGTAAGAAGGCCATCCTATCATAATCTAGTGCAAATGACAGTAGCACTACAATATCAGGGTTTGTTCTCGAGTGCAGCGTCGCTGGATTTACGCGTTTTGAAACTAATGTCGCACAAAATTCATGTAAATGCGGCAAATGAGGTGTGGAAATAATCTGAAATAAAGGATTCAATTCTGAATCACAATAATAAATAACAATTATTCACCGAAGTGGAGGTGGCTAGTCCTGGATATTAACCGAACTGCGAAGCAGTTCGGTAAATATCCACGACTAGCCACCGACACTGAGGTGAATAATTGTTTTAGTATATACTAAAACAGTGAGATAATTGAGCACAAAAATGACGATTTTTAACTCAAATACTGTTGCCAACGATTACAATTTTGGCGCGTAATGACCGGGCGGCCGTGGCTGTCGCTTTTTCTTGCCGAGAATTAAAACTTTTGAAGGCATTTGTTTAGCTCTTGCGGGAAAATTTCTTCAAAGGAGTTGTGAATTCTTTCTGTATTTAAAATCATTCTATAAAAAAAGATTATGAAATTTAGTTTTAAGCTTATATATGAACAACTCAACTAAATAAAGTAAGCAAGACTTAAACTTAATTTGCATTTGTAAACAAAAAACTTTTTCACCGGTTTTATCGATAAATTCGTGTCAAAAAGACAAAGCTTTACCTGTTAAAATTTCCAACCCGAACTTCGTCACCCTCTTCGTGTATTTCGGAAACAGCTTGCTTGATTAGTTGTGAGATTTCTTTGTTTGTTTACGGCAGCAAACCGGGAAGGCATTTTACTCGCAACTTACACGAGTTTGGCGTCGCTCGCGCGGAGGAACTGGAGGTGAATCAGTGAATAGTGCAGGATATTTACTGATTGAGCAGCCAATCAGAGCGCGCGAAAAACACTATCCACTGTTTAAGTATATACTAAAGTCGATTACATAGGCGAGAAAGCAAGGTTACGGTGCGATCATGAACAGGAGGGAAATTTACCAGTTACTTGCGTTTAAAATTACGTATACACCAGAAGCAGTTAACCAAAGGATCAAAAACTAAAAAAAGAGATAAACCATGCCTTATTTCAATGCGCTATAAATGACATTAATATAGACCATGAACCAATTACTATTTCACTTCACATGTCAGCCTCAACTTACAGGAACTTACAGAAAAGCCACAACAAAACGGTGGAAAAAAGAGAGTGTCCAAAGAAGAAAAAAAAATTAAACATGATCAAATTTTTTGGGCCCTTTGTGTTGAAATACAGGCCCATTACAATATAGAGCTTTTGATTCTAAGACGAGTACGACTACGAGTATAAGATTTTCTCAATTACTAAGTAGTGCGCGCGCGTGAACCAGCGTTATTTTGGCGGGAAAACGTGATAGTCGTCGTCATTCTACTACGAGTTTTAGCGAGAATGTCGCGTTAGCGGACACAAGTTTTAAAGTGCTACAGGTTTTATTATTTTGCGGCTGGGAGATGGCTTAAACCTCTTTCAATCAAGATAACAGTGCTAATTTTTTGAGTGAAAAAGATGTACAATGAAGCTTTCCGGGGTGTCTATTCTTTGAGAATACGCGTATTGGCCATTATAGGGAGTACCCCCCACCCCCGGGGTATTCGCCATTGTAGGGAGTATCTCCCCCAACCCCCGGGGTATTCGCAGGATCGTGATAACCCTGAAGGCGCAATAGTGTAGTTTTTGCAGCCTATTGACCAATTCCTTAGTAACACCGTCCCACACAGGGCCTTAGAATTCGAAATGTAACGCGATAATAGCTCGATGAAATCGGCCTCAGCCTCTTCAGTGCTATACCAGAGAAAATGGTCTTCGCAATTTCGCTTACAAGTTTGGACAGTGTTTTGAACCCTATACAAGTTACCCGCCCGGTGAATGGAGGTCTACGACAAGTCACCGATAATAAACACTACAGAACCGCAAGCATCCGTTGAGCATTATAGTCCGCTTGGTAAAAATTTGCAGTGACGGATAATCATCAAGTTTTTGTTGCATATAAAAGCATTTTAAGATGGATATTAGTGAATCGGATATACAAGGGACGAACTGAACGATTTACCGCTTATCCGTTTAATTATCCTTTAAGCCCCAATATCCACATACAAATTCTCCAGAATGATCTCCATACATTCTCTTAAAGAATTAGTTGGGAGAATTCGATAAGATCAGAGCATTTTCTCTGAGGTGATCATTTTATAAATTCTCATAACCTTTTCTCTTGATGAAGTGTGGATATTGTTAGGAGAAAATTGATGTCGGTCGCTTTTGAGACTTTAGGGAATAGAAACGACTTTCAACCGACTCATGTGTTCCGCATTCACTGTCTTATAGGTTCAAAAACTTAGTCTGGAAATCGAGACCTTGAAACGGCAGAAAAGGCAGACAGAGGAGCAACTACAGAAGAGCAAGAGCGATAGAAACGTTCTGAGTGAAGAGCTTGCCTCCATCCGAAAAACACTTTTCATGCGCGAGGCGGAACTGGAAGCGATTAAAAGTGAGTTGTCAACAAAAAACAACACCATCGTGTCACTTAAGGCTGACAAGGAAGCACTGCAGCGGGAGCTAGAGACAGTTAATACTGAAATGGTTGTCAGTGAGTCGATCACCGTTGAGGAGTCGGCTCCAGTGGAGGCAGAATTCTTCAGCACACAGGTCTCGGAGTACGAAGCCACCTTAAAAAGTTCAGTGGAAGAAAAAGAGGGACTGCAAGAAGAGGTTCTTGACTTACAGTCTAAGCTGGCCAAATTACAGGCTGATTACGATAGAGCGTTCAGGGACTTGGATGCCACGAAAAAAGAGTGCGATCTCAGGGTGAAGAAGTTTGAAATGCAGCTACAGAATTCCCAGAAGCAACGCGAGGATCTTAAGAGGCAGCTAGAGAGGCTACGAGACGATCTGAAGAAAAGCAAGGAAGCGTTATCAAGCGCGCAAAAGGAGGCTGTCAACAACAAGCGTGCAGCTGATAAGCTCCGGGATGAAACAGAGGGGAAGAACAGGCAGATCCGAAACTTAGAGCAGAAAAACCAGGTACTGGAAGAACAACTGGACCAACTGAAACAGCAACTGTCCCAGACTGAGGTGCGTTTAAAGGTAGAAGCCAAACACGTTAAAGATTTCGAAAACGAGCTTCGTTCCTCTGAAAGGCGAGTAGCTGAACAGGAAGCGACGATCGAGAACTTAAGATCCAGCAACGAAGATCTCCAACGTGAGCTTGCCATTGCCAACAGTAGGGTCGCAACCCTAGAGAATCAAAATGGTAAAATAACAACTCGAATAAGGGAGTTGGAGAACGAACTGGAGCGCTGCCAGGTGCGTATGAAAGAAGTGGAAAGCGAGTACAAGAGTGTCAACAGCAAATACGTACAGCTTCAATCGACACATGATTCTAACTTGAGTGAGGTAGACGGGCTACGCTCCAGAGTAGGGGGACACCAGACTAAGATAGAAGAGCTGGAATCTCACCATTCCATCACTACCAAAGAGAGAGATGACCTCAAGTTACGTGTAACTCCACTGGAGAAAAAGATCGCAGAGTTACAATTAGCTGTGGAAAAGAGCGACAGTTCGCGTGAAGAAGTGGAGCGAGAGAAGGACTCCCTCAAAGCTAAGAACTCAAGTTTGGAGGCGAAGCTTTCCACAGCTAACAAAGCAAAGGGGCAGCTAAGGGCAGACTTGGATGCTGAAAAGGACAAGACCTCGCAGATAAGGAAAGAGATCGTATCGCTACAGACTCAAATAACAGAGACACAGCGTACTCTTGACAAAGGCAAGAACGAGAACGCAAGAAAACAAAAAGTCATCGACGACTTGAAAGAGACGATCCGCCGCCTTGAAGGTACCATTCACGAAAAAGACCAGGAAGTGCAAGAACTCAACATTCAGAACAACATGCTTACAGATGAAAAGGAAGAACTAAACGATGAAGTAATGGATGTCAAGAGGAAACTAGCTGAACTGGAGGAGGATATAAGTCACCTACAAGAAGAGAAGGATAACAATGAACGAGATTTACTAGATACACAGAAGAAAAACTCTGAGCTTGAGAACACACTGGAAGGCGTTGAGAAAGAAAAGGGGGATCTCGAAGTTCAACTGTATAACTTGAAACAGAATCTTCTGCGCGTGGAGGCAGAACTTCGTGACGCCTTAAGTAACAAGGCAGTGCTAGACGAAGATGCTACGAAAAACGAGGATATTGTTAAAAGGCTTAACGAGGACATAAACCGATTAAAAGGGCAACTCACTGAGGCACAGCGACAAATTGATACCTACCGCAGAGAAGCAGACATCAAAGATGCGACAATCGCGGCACTCAAAGCTCAACTTGGAGACCTTGAACAAGAGAATGATAATCTCAGAGCAGAGCTTTCGAAGACAAAAGCACTATTAGCAGCTATAGAGGAAGAAAGCAGGAAACTTCAAATAGAGCTCAACACAAAGAATGAGGAGATCTATCGATTAACTGAAGAAATTGACATTACGCTAAAAAAGAACGAAGAGCTTCAGAATGAATGCATTGTGGTTGCTGACAGAGTGAGCACTGTCGAGACCAGTTATCAAGAATTTAAGAGTTTCTCGGTAGGCAATGATATTCAACAGGAAAACGAGCGACAAAGCACGGCGCAACTGCAAAGAGAGATCAGAAACCTCACAGCTAAGATAAAAAAACTAGAGGAAAGAGACCAAAGCAAAGAAGTCGATCATCTGAAGGCGCAACTCGAAGCTGCCAACGAAGAGATTGCCACCTTGCAGGATCGCCTTGCACAAATGGAAAGAGAGAAAACTGACCTCGAGCGAGATATCGCGGTTGTCAAAACTGATCTTGCGCAGAAGGAAAACGACTTGGAAGCTGCACTAAAAGATAAAGAAAAAGCGGAGGATGACCTACACAGTATTCAAGCGAAGATTGACAATTTAGAAAGCAAACTAGTCGCTGCACGCTTTCAGATTGCTCAACTGAAAAACAACTTGAAGGAAGCTAACCATAAGAACGTGAGGGCAAAAGAGACAATCAACGATCATCAAGTGAAAGTAAGCCAGCAGGAAAAAGTGAGCGAGGGACTGAAAAACGCAAATGTAAAGAAAGACAAAGTAATCGCCGAACTAAATGAAAGGCTAAAGAAGTTACAAAACGAATTGGCCGATGTGAAGCGCGAAGTTATAGCTACCAATGCAATTGTTGAGAATCTTAGATCAGACAAAAAGAACTTGGAACGTAAATTGGGAGATGAAGAAAAACGAATTCGGCTACTGGAAAACGAGATAAAAGACTTGAAGACACAAAGAAATACTTTGGAGACCGAACTAAGCAACAAGACGCATAAGCTGGCGATCACGGAATCCCAGACAAACAGTCTTAAAAAGGAACGAGACAACTTGAGAGAGGAGGTGAAGAATCTGAACGACCGACTGAAGATAATCAAGGAAGAGAATCTAACTTTACAGACAGAATTTCATCGTTTGGAAAAAGAGCTCGAGCTCCGTGCGAAAGAGGTTTTGGAGAGGGATTCAACGATTAAAAGGCTGAAAGCCGCGAAGACCTCTGCTGACGATGAACTCCTAGGAGTAAAGAAGGAATTAATGACAACCAGAAATGCTCTTGATGTCTCGCAGGACAAGATCAAATCGTTGGAGACGAACATCAAGCAAACAAATATCAACATGAATAAACTGGAAGTGACCATTCAGAACGTGAACAGAGAGCGCGAGGAAAACGTTAGCAGCAGTTCCAGTCAAGACACTCAGTACATCGAGATTGAAACCCTTTACAAAGCCAGCCAGGACCGTGAGAACCGCTACAAGCAAGAGATACAAATCCTTAAAACGCGATCAGAGAAAATTGACGCTGATTATCGTAAAGCTCAACGAGACAATGTAGATCTTCGAGCCAAAATCAATGCCTTGAACAAGAAAGTCAGAGACCTACAGACAGCCTTAGATCGAAGTAACAAGGAAAAACAGGCGACAAAAAGCGATCTCGAAACTGCAAACAACGAGTTGGTCACTATTGAAGTGGCATACGACAATGAGACCAAAGAGAAGGACTCCTTTAAGAAGCAACTGGATGATGCTCTAGAGAAGTTAGAAAAGGCAAGGAAACAGATTATGGACCTTGAGCATGCCATTGTGGAAATCAAGATACAACTTGAAGAAGCGGAAAAGGAGGCAGCAGAGAAAGACAACGAGATTCGAAATTTGAAAGCCGGCAAAGACTTTTTAGAGAACCAACTTGATGCTGCGAAGTCCCGCTTGGAAGATGCACAACAAGAAAACGACAAACTTCAAGCTGAAGATGTCCGCAAACAGAATGAGATTCTAGAGTTACACAACAAGATAAATGAGTTGGAAGCTCGCATCGTTAAACTGACGGGTGAGAAAGAAAGAGCACTTGACGAGACCCAAGTCAAAGCTGAGAAAATCGCTACTTTGGAAGCGCAAATAAGAGATTTGACAAACGAGAAAAACACGCTCTTAGAGAAGATTGAGGAATTGAAAAAGGAGGTCAATGCTCTCCGAGAGGAAAGAATAAACGTTGACAGGCAGCTCGCAGAATTCCAGAGCAAGATTAGCTTCTTGAACAAAGAAATTGAAAACCGGGATAAAATCATCACTGACTTGAAAAGCAAAGAAGAAATCCAAGATACGGAAATCGACAATATGAGGAACAACTTGAGAAGATGGGAGAATGACCATGAATCCGCCTTACAAAAGATCCAGGAGCTTGAAAAGGTGTACCGCTCGTCCAGTGAAAAGATAACTCTGATCGAGACCAATAGCGACAGCAACAGTGACAGAGCAAGGCGACTGGACGAAGAGAACATAGCCTTGAAACGAAGAATTGCGGAACTTGACATTTCCAATAAGGTTAGCGAGGAAAAAGGCAAAGAGCTCCAGGACCAACTTCTCCGCGCCCAAGAACAGATTCTCAACCTTGAGTCCTCGTCATCGATGGAATATTCTTTTCAGGTACAAACGGACACCGTCTTAGAATCCGCAGGAGACGAAGTTGAGGTTGAAATCATGAAGAGGGATTTGGAGGATCTCAAAGATAAGAATACTACCCTCGAGAAGCAGCTTCGACAGCTGAACTCTACAAAGACACAGCTACAATCTCAAGTGGATGAACGAGACAAGAAACTGAAGGAAAACGACGACATAACCTTAGACTTACAAAGGCGCATTCAAGAACTCACCATCCGCCTTGAGAAAACAGGAGACCAGACCGACGCCCCAGGAACTATTGCTTCCCTACGCGCACAAAAGGACGCTTTGGAACGCGATAACCAGATACTGATGAAGGAGTTGGAAGCTACCAAGGCCACTTTATCCGACGTAAAGCAGCGTCGTAAGGACGCTGAAAGCCAACTTTATCAGATCAAGCGAAAGCTCAATGACAGTGAGCTGAAGCTCAACATGGCAAATACACAGAACGAGAACCTTCACCAAGAGCTGCTTAGGGCGCAAGAGAAGAACCACGCTTTGGAGACTGAGAAAGATCGTGCATTACAAGACCACGCCAACCTGCGCGGGGAGTTGGCGGAGACTCAAGATCGTTTGCAAAGGACAAAACACGAGCTAGAATCACTCAAAATGAAAGTGCGCGACCTTCAAGGAGAGATTCAAACTTTAAGGAGCGAACTGGACGACAGTCACAGCAAGATTGATTGGTATGTGAACAATGAACGCCAGCTTAAGGAAAACATCACCTCATTGAACAAGAAGATTGACAACATGAGAGATGCCAATGACAAGCTTTCAGAGACAATAGACAACTTAAACGCGAAGATACAGGAAAAAGAAGCCAAAATTGGCGATCTTGAACACCGCATGACCCTGCTCCGCGACGAGAATGAGAAGCTGAGAAGAGATTTGGCCACAGCTAATGCCAACGCCGCCGACTTTAAAAAAAAGTATCTGAATGCCTTGAGCGATACCGAGAAGTTGCAGACCGAGCTGAACATGAAGATACAGAGGATACGCAACCTGGAAATTCGTATCAAGACCTCGGACACAGACAAGAACCGCCTAAAGCAGGACATCAGTACACTAAAGAAAAACCTCTCAGAGCAGAAAATTCAACTTGAAGGCAGTCGCCAGGCGAAGGATCGTATCACTACTAGCATGATTGTGCAGAATGTCTCCACCAGCCTTCAGTCGGCCCCAGAAACGTTCCCGTTCCAGGTCAAGGATGAGACAGCCGTTTCGAAAAAATACAACGACCTTGAATTATCGTACAAGAAGATAATCAGAGAGAAAGAGGATGGCGATAAAGACACCGTGGCACTACGAAACAAAGTGGGCAGGTTGGAAAGTGAACTCGCAGACTTGAACAGGACCAAGAATGCCCTTGAGGGAGACTCAATGTGGAAGAACAAAAGAATCGAGCAGCTGGAGAAGGAAGTTTACGACTTACAGTCCAGGGACATGGTTGATTCTGATGAAGCCCTTGGCTGGAAGAACACCATCACTCAGATGCAACAGGACTTGGACAGCGCTAAGAACAAAATGTTCCGTCTGGAAGCTAGGAACGAAACGTACGAACAAAAGATCAAGGACTACAGCGAAGATTTGATCAAGGCGAGAGAGAGGGTGGCCCAGCTTGAAGCTAGAGCAGATGAGGACCAGATTAAGATTGAAGACAAGCGAAGGGAGCTGATGGAGGCGTACAAAAAGGCGGCAGACTTCGAGGCGGCAATGAAATCCAGTAATAATACCAAAGGTGAGTTGAATGGGCTGATACAGACCTTGCGTGACAAGATCAAAACTTTAGAAGACAGACTTCAAAAGGAAGCCAAACAGAACGCTCAAGTGCGAGGCACACTTGATCAAGTGAAGTTAAAGAACGAAGATTTGAAACTGGAAATCGCCAAGCTGCAGAAGAAGCTAAGGGAATCTCAACAGCAGTACGAGTCACAGGTACCTTAGATATTCATTTAATCGTTAACCTCCGAGAATATTCGAGAATCGTCGGCTTTTCGTGGGAAACCAGAAATGACAAATTATCTTTACGTTGCTTCAAGCGACCTGGTCCTTAACTAAAAAGCGTGCATCTGATCACGTTTTCATTTACTATACGGGCGTAAGCAATGCGGAGGTGAGAGTACAGAAAAGCCTGTTGCAACCCGTATAAGTCTGCATGCGTTCTCTCTCACAAAGTTTTTTTACGAGTTTTTGTTGTAGTTGTTTTCGTCCATTTTCTAATCTTACTGTTGTAAGCAAGTTCTTTCCTAAGAAAATAAATTTCCGGGCAAGAATTGCACAACGAACAAAGAACCTCATACAAACCGTCTAGACGAAAAATCTTCCGCTCATTTTTTTTACTTTACTTGCATTTGCCGAAACACCCGATCAAATCTACGCATGCAAATTCTTTTTTCCAATAATGTTGCTTCATTCGCCACGATTTTTGCTACAGCCAAGCGAGGAATAAGCGCTAAACAGTTTGTCAGAGGCAATCACATGTTGCGGCCATATTTTAGCCGCAAACAACGGGCGTTGTGCGGGTTTCTTATCAGGCTCAATTTTACTGCACCCAGACAACTCCTACAATTCGGCCTGATCTTATCCTGTACATTTGGTTTATCGTTTGGTGCCAGAATGTTTTGGTATATGATAGTTTTTAGCTTGAGAATTCGACAGATAGTCACAGTGGGGATGGCATTGCTAGTTTCATGTCTTTTTTAATTATTTAAAACCTCTAATCATTCCAGGTGCGAGGGTGGTCAGAGGCAAAATACACTATCGAAGGTTTGGAAAAAGAGAACGACGATCTAATGGCTCAGCTTGAAAAACTCAGGCGCGAAATTGCAATCCTCAGAAATGACCAGGACAACGCGACAAGGGAGAGAACCGATTTGCAGAGCGAGTCGAAACAGCTGCAAACCAGAGTAGATGACCTTGAGAATCAACTNCTGGAAATCGCCAAGCTGCAGAAGAAGCTAAGGGAATCTCAACAGCAGTACGAGTCACAGGTACCTTAGATATTCATTTAATCGTTAACCTCCGAGAATATTCGAGAATCGTCGTCTTTTCGCGGGAAATCAGAACTGGCAAATTATCTTTAAGTTGCTTCAAGCGACCGGGTCCTTAACTAAAAAGCGTGCATCTGATCACGTTTTAATTTACTATACGGGCGTAAGCAATGCGGAGGTGAGAGTACAGAAAAAGCCTGTTGCAACCCGTATAAGTCTGCATGCGTTTTCTCTCACAAAGTTTTTTTACGAGTTTTTGTTGTAGTTGTTTTCGTCCATTTTCTAATCTTACTGTTGTAAGCAAGTTCTTTCCTTAGAAAATAAATTTCCGGGCAAGAATTGCACAACGAACAAAGAACCTCATACAAACCGTCTAGACGAAAAATCTTCCGCTCATTTTTTTTTACTTTACTGGTATTTTCCGAAACACCCGATCAAATCTACGCATGCAAATTCTTCTTTCCAATGATGTTGCGTCATTCGCCACGATTTTTGCTACAGCCAAGCGAGGAATAAGCGCTAAACAGATTGTCAGAGGCAATCACATGTTGCGGCCATATTTTAGCCGCAAAACAACGGGCGTTGTGCGGGTTTCTTATCAGGCTCAATTTTACTGCATCCAGAGAACTCCTACAAGTCGGCCTGATCTTATCCTGTACATTTGGTTTATCGTTTGGTGCCAGAACGTTTTGGTATATGATAGTTTTTAGCTTGAGAATTCGACAGATAGTCACAGTGAGGATGGCATTGCTAGTTTCATGTCTTTTTTAATTATTTAAAACTTCTAATCATTCCAGGTGCGAGGGTGGTCAGAGGCAAAATACACTATCGAAGGTTTGGAAAAAGAGAACGACGATCTAATGGCTCAGCTAGAAAAACTCAGGCGCGAAATTGCAATCCTCAGAAATGACCAGGACAACGCGACAAGGGAGAGAACCGATTTGCAGAGCGAGTCGAAACAGCTGCAAACCAGAGTAGATGACCTTGAGAATCAACTCCAGAAGGCTGTGGAAGAGAAGAGTAGGTTCCAAAAAGAATTAAACGACACGAAGAACGAGGAGACGCTTCTATCATTCCGTCGCGAGTCCGAAACAGTTGTTAGTGAAGTCTCGGCTGGTAGCTTGGAGGCTGGAGTGGAAATGTTCCCTGAAATGCAAGAGGACCTTGACGTGGCCAAAAGGGAACGCGACCAACTCAACAGCGATGTCCTCTCTTGGCAGAACAAGTTTAACACGTTACAGAACAGTTATGATAACCTAGAAGCCGGCAAGAACCGCCTTGAGGACAAACTGGATAGCATGCAGAAGACGATCAGCAGCTTAGAGCAGAAATCACAAACACTAACATCTGACAAAAAGAAGCTGAATGCAGAGATTGATGCAGCCAAACGAAAGATTAATGACCTTCTGTCCGAGCTGGATGCTGCGAAAAGAGAAAAGGATTCTCTCAGGCAAGAGTATGAGTTGTTGCAGAAGCAGATTTCAAAAATGGAGGCTGAGTACGAAATCCATATCACCACGAGCGATGAATTTGATGACTCCGCTGCATACACCAAATTGCAAGACGCCTACAAACGCAGCCAGGAACGACAGAGTGAAATGCAAGAGGAACTTCTGAGCTGTTACAAGGTGGTCGGAGAGCTAAAGAATCAGGTTCAGAGATCACAAGAGACCATTGAAAGGTTAACAATCAACTACAACACTGAGACGGTCAGAAGCGCGAGTCTACGCGACGAAGTGGTCATGTACCAAAGAAGACTTTCTGAACTAGAGGAGAAGAACGAAGTTAGCAAGGGTGCAAATAAGGATTTAGAGAATGAAATGGAGGTGGTACAACAGAGAATTTCGGAGCTCAGTCGAGAGAATTCATCGATTCAGGAGTCAAAGGCTCTGATCTCCGTTGAAGTCGCCAACCAGCGCAAAAAGATCCTCCGCCTTGAGCAGCAACTTGACGATGCCGAACGAGAGAAGGAGAGCTTAAGGCTTCAACTTTCTGCGTTGAGTAGTAAGAGAGGATCGGGATCCCAAGACGTCAGCCGATCAAGTTCCGCTCAGTTTTCAGAACAAAGCCTCAGCCTCCTTCGTGACAAGCAAGTCGAGACTGGGGACAGCACCGAGGAAGGCCTTCAAAGAGAGGACGCTTATAAATCATTCACTCGACGCACTTTTCAAAGTGAGACACGGATACAATCTGACGAGCTTTCTACATCCACGAAGAAGGAAATCGAGTCGTTCTTTGACCTTGGCGGGAGTGACAAAGATCTTGGGCCCTCGGCAGAAGCAACCACACTTGACCTGGACTTGGACGGTGAAGTTGACGGAGGCGGAACAACCAAGACAACCCGCATAGTGACGGTGAAGAGCACCAAGTCCAAGAAGTCCATATTTTAACTGATTAGAACAGAACTTTGAAAGAGGAATTTCCTCTTTCGTAGCACAAATTGAAAACTCGATACAGCAGCTCAAAAAAGCTCTAATATATTTAAAAAGGCCTCACTCCCTTGTACATTTTGTTGCCCCAGTAACGATGCGACCATACCCACGAGATTTCCTGCTTTGTTTTGTTGGAAAAAAGAACGCAAGCGAGAAAGATATGTCCACTGAATTTGGAACTAAGAGCATACTCCCATGACTATTGTAACGTAATACACACTGCGGCAACAAAGCATGCCACCGGATAAGGTCTTTTTCGTAGTGCTGAAAATTATACGTAAATGTAGAACTTTAATAATTTAGATGAGATGGTACAGCACCAAAAGACGATAATGAGACGGTGAGGGAAACTCCCAGTCTAGCCCTTGGGATATGATGATAAGACCAATTAAAAACTGAAGTTCATCGAAAGTTGGTTTCCGAAGAGATCCGCAAATGTTTTTTCAGCGTTGTCAAGAGAGAAAAACGGGACTTTATTCACTGTTGGTATGTAGCTATTACAATATTCTGCATTGTTTGCTATGACGCAGTCGCGCGTGGAGTTTATAACTTTTCACACAATCGATTAAAAGGTGCGGATGTCTCAGGAATTGGACTTGCATTTAATTACAGCCTCTAAGAATAACTTAAGTAAAATTCACATATCAAGATTTCCCCTCTGTCTCATTATTCTCATGAGTCGTTTAATTTACCTATTTGCTACATCCTATGTTTAGCTTTTATCCAAGTTCTTTAAGTCTGAGTCAAGGCATAAAGCAAGTTAGAACAAAGCAAATCAGCCCGCCTCGAAACAAAATGTAGCCATAACGTGAAATATTAGAGAACTTTAGATTCTAAGACGAGTACGACAACAAGTACGAGATTTTCTCAGTACTAAGTAGGGCTTGGGCGTGAACCAGCGTCATTTTGGCGGGAAAACGTGGTAGCCATCGTCACTCTGCCACGAATTTTAGCGAGAGTGTCGAAGTGGGGAAAACAAGTTATCAAATGTTAGAAGTTTTATCATTTTGCAATCGGGAGAGGGTGTCACTTCCTTCACTAAAGGTAACAGCGCTAACTTTTCTGGTGAAAAGGTCTCTATTTAACTACTGGAACAAAATTTCCGTAATCTGTTAGAACAAAAACTGGTGTAATGGTATAATGTACCCATGCATTACAGCTCTTATTTCATAAAGACCTTAGCTTTGCTTTGCTTTTGTTATGTAATTAGTATAGTGTGCCCTTTGTTTTTGATTCATTTATTACAATAGTATCTCGCTGTGCTATTTGGATCACTGTCGCCGCTACTGAATAAAATATTTCGCTGGTCAGAACGAGACATGGATTTACAATAATAATAATGGAAACAAGTTACATTGCGGCTTAGCAATAAAGTTGTAGTATTGTGCTTTAAATTGAAAGTGCTTTCTTGAAATAAATTTTGCTGATAAAATGTTACTTCAAGTCAAGGAATGTAAAGAACTTTACAAATAGAATTAATGGTGGAAAAAATCCCGGTTGGATCAACATTTTCGCAACCCTGTACAATCAACTACAATGCAAACTGTGTCCTGGCTTTTAAGCGTCTCCAGATATATTCCCTCCCACTTCCCGATAATACGCCCATCTCAGTACAAACCTAAAAGTATACTAAGCTTCAGCTACCCCCATCTACACCCTCTCACACCCCACCCTCCCCCTCCCCCGCCCATTTGAACAACTCAACGATCCTCTCCTCTTTTCACAGGTTCCC